ACTTGCAGCCAGAGAATCGACTTACAGACCAGAAAAAAACCAAAATGGAATAAAAATAGAATAAAAACCACTGGTTATGAGATTAATCGGTTTTCAGTGCATTGTAGGTCAATGGAGATTCGACTTACAGACTTTTCGACTTGCAGCCACCATTCCAATAAGGATTAATTCCTTAAGTAGAGGGTCCACTGTAAAGACATCTTAAGTTTCCCTAAATACAAAAGTCCTGTCCTTATTTGTTCGCTTGCCACATGTAGAACGATCTCATGGTTGGAGCAAAAAAAAAAAAGACTTTAAAAGCACCCACCCAGCCTCTAGATACTCTTCCAAATTTCTTCTGGCAAACCAAGAAAGAATGAAAACCGACACATGTTAAATCCCAGCGACCAAGTCCTGACCTCTGTGCTACTCTATCCACGATATTTCAGAGCTGAACGACCACATCAATGTTGTCCGAAGACCCCACCCTGGGAGAAAGGAGGATCAGAATGGACACCAACCCATGAACCGGTTGCCAAAAATATTCGTTTCGCCACGGATCCGCCATGGCTGGTCAGGTCCCCCCTCCTGTGCCTGGCTGCTTTTCCACTTACTCCTCCTCAGTTCGATCTTCATTGCTGTCTTCTCAAGGGTAATCACATCTCCCAGACCCTGTTTCTTATCTTGGAAGCATCAGCAGTACGAGGAGGGAAGGAGCGACCAGGTAAGGTTTCTAAAAGCAGGCCTGGATTTGCACGATAGGGATTTTTTGGAACTGCCGGATGATGACCTTGTGGGCTGGGAGGGAAGACGATTCTTCTGGTCTAACCGCCCCCCTTCCAACAACTTCTCTGGGGATTTTCTGCTGAACAGGCGCTACTGAGGGGTCGCACAGAGGTTGAAAGCCAAGTGTACCCAAGCAGCTTCAAAGCTGGGATTCCAACCAGCGTGATGCATAGGGCGGGATAAAAATATAACCAAATTTCAAAAATTAAATAAAAAGACACAACCCATCAGGCATGCAAGAAGGCTGCATGAGGTTTTCAAAGCCGTTTGGAAAAACAGAGTCCATCTTATTTGTTTAAATTAGATATGCATAATTTCCAGAAATGTCCATTTTTCCCCGAGAGGGAAAAACTTTCCCCCCAGAAAAACAGAAACGTTCAGATATTTTACATCTCTACGCCTATTTCACATCTGCAGAGAAATGTTATCAACGGAACTTGTCAACTGATTGATGTTCTTT